TTATGTTCGCGAATTAATTATTACGTCTGACAATATGCCTTGTTGACGATGTTCTAAACCGAAATCTCCGCGCGCGCTCGCGCGTTATTACTGTCGTCGTTCCGCGGATTTCAGAAAACTAAGATATTACTTCTGCTTTCGCGATTATTCGCCTGGATCGAAGACACTGAAGTCTCTTAAATACTCACGTGCACGAAAAGCGATAGAATATTCTCTCTCTCTTTCTCTTTCTCTTTTTCTTTCATCTCACGTGGATTCGAAAATGGAGACCTAAAAATATCTGTTTATATCCAGGACTGGAGTGTCCTCGTTTTCATAAATATCCGCCAGGATTAGAAAATGAAGACGTCAGCGGCCGAATTTCTCTCGCATACGGCCGGGGCAAAGTGCAACACGTTTTCACGCCACGATTACTGGCATCATTTGTCACGTGTATAGACCCAAAGCGGGGAAGTATAACTCATTTTGCTCTATACTTTATATCGCGCTACATATTCTCGTCTGTTGAGTGCACGCGTTCGTGTGTGTATGTAGTCGTGGAAGATGGAAACGAGTCGCTCAGATTGTGCCAAGAAAGAATAAACTGCCGTGATTCGATTCTCGCACGGTAAAAGAAGTACTCTTTGTCGTGAAACGAACGAGTTTGGTCTATTTAACGATCCGACAATCGGAAAGGTCGCGCTACGTAAAATATTTAAAGAGCGTATTAATGTTACGTCCAAAGGTAAAAGTCGGAGGAACCCGCCAGATCCAGAGGGGGAACCTGTGATATAAAATCACCTGTTTGTCTGGGGCGTTGTTAAAACCTCCCATTACTTACGGACGACCTTCTTAATTCGCTAAAGGGTTAGTCCCTTTATGAAAAGGGTGGAATAAGGGTGGAACTTGAGAAATCGCGTTATTTCGCAGATCGTCTTAAACTCTTACGCATCTATTAGCTACTCGTTAATGGTCCTCAGTAATTAATGAACAGATGCGACTAATTGAACCCATCGGAAAGAAACACGAAGGAAAATATGCGAAATACAATACTTCCCTCTTCTGCTCTTTCATCGTTAGAAACATTGCGTCCTATTTTGTTTTATCTTTAAAAACGATAGAAATATTTCTCGTGTGTATTTTCACGTTTAACAAGTATTTTTGTAGCATTAGGTTTCATTCGCCGTTCTTTCTTTCTGAACGACTGTAACACTATCGATACGGGAGTATCAAAACATTCGCGATACAAATTGAAGTAACAAACGTGTTTCGAGTTACCGGCGCAACGACACAGTTCCTTCTCGCGTCTTATCGCGTTCCTTTAGCACGTCGTGTCCTTTTTGTCGGAGAAACACGGATAACAGTATAGTGCCGTGATTTATGATCGAAATAAATATCTATTAAAATACCAGCTGACATCGTTCATTTTTCCGGCTGCACGGACCGGATAGAAGATACATTCGACGGACTTGGCGAAAATTACTGTACTTTTATTTTAGGTGGAAAAAGAAAAGCGTTTGAGTTCACGGAAGAATTCTGATGTAACTTACGGATATGAGGTGGCCTTAGATTTCCGATACATTTCTAATATTTTCCAATACTTCCATAATTTAGAGTGTGAAAGAAAGATTCACTCTCTCGTGCTTTCGTATTTTCTCTCCTTTTCTATCTCTATCTCTTTCTCTTTCATGTACTCACGTACAACACATATAATCTAATTCCATAATGTCTCTCCTTCAGCATAAACATTCGACGGCGCCATTCTATGAATGCTCAGTGAACTGTAGGAAACACACAAAGTGCTTTCGGAAAACTTCATATAAATCAGCATATAGCGCTTTTCCCAATAACTCGAGTCCAGTGGCACGAGGATCATCGAATTGTAATACATTTCATTGGAATAGTATTAATAACATCGGTTGAATTCCGCGACCGAACTGTTCGCGCTACGTGTTAAATAAAAATATAAAACATTGATTATACAAAGCATTTAAAACAAAGCTGTAAAACCAAATCTGCGAAGTAAATAACTATATTTGTAATTCCTTTTTATTAATCCATTACAATTGTGCACGAGGCATCGTCGTCGTATGTTATCTAGAGATCATGAGTGAGAAATGTCTCAGAATCGCTGCCATTATGTAATAGCTCACTTGGTTACAGATTGATGCGAATCACAGTGATTACGCCATGATTCCGGAAATATATCACGCGCGTCTGAATTACTCGCCTTGCGACGATCAGATCCGTTTTACGTTTCCGTCCGCTTCTTGCCGCTTATTTTGCTCAATCTCGTAAAAAGGAATCATGTGATATCCGGGTTTTGGTAGAATGTCTATAATTCCCGTTTATCCCGGCGAAGCATCCGTGCGTTCGGGAAGCAAATGTGTTACTAGTGGCATACAATTTGGGTCTCCCTTTTACAAGAGTTTCGGTTCTTTCTTAATTCCTTGAAAGTTTGTCTTAATGTTAATATTATTGTATTTTTTGCGAATAGAAGGTAATTCTTAAAGTATAACCTGAACTTCTGTAAAAAAAAAAACTTTTGATTTTGTTTGTTACATTTTTTTTTCAATTATTGTGTTGCATAAACATGCGAAAAAGAAGTAACGGAAAAAACTTATTTAATTATACGGTTCTTTTATTTTATTACGAAGAAATGTTTACATGTCAAATATATAGAAATTGGGTTATACTTCGAAAATACATGAAATCATACGTTTAATTGAAATGGGAAACGACCGCAGTTTTATAAATCACACCGCTTGATTCGTTTTTTCTGCAATTTACTCCAATTCTGTTGTTCGACCGTTCTGGCCGTTCGAATTTTAACGGTATCTCGATAAATCCTTTTATAGAAGAATATAGCGATCAAATTTCCCTTCCAATTAAGTATCTCGACAGCATGTTCCACGTATCGATAGCTCCAGCTACAGCTTGATCGCATCTCTAATTGAATTACCCGAGATTTACGCGGACGAAGTTCGTCGTACGTGCTAGACGAGGGTGCTACGGATTAAGCCATAACGAAAGGTAAAAATAGGCTATAAAAAAAGAGCGAGAGAAATAAGGAATAAGAAATAAAGAAGTAATTTCAACGTAAAATATAAGATTACACCTGTGAGAAGAGCGGTTTCTCTCTCTCTCTCTCTCTCTCTCTCTCTCTCTCTCTCTCTCTCTCTCTCTCTCNTCTCTCTCTCTCTCTCTCTCTCACTTCTTCGCAATTGCTGCTAGCAGATGTGAGTACAAAATAAAACTTCCCGCGAGTTAATAAAATTCAAAATTGTCCCTGCGCGACGAGAAAAAATTATGGGAAGCATATTCAAGACAACGTTATTTTTGCCACCTAGAGTGCGCAAATCATCAATAAAAGTAATCCATTTCCGCGCAAAACTCCACGGCTCTCCTGGCCTTTCTAATTTTTCTTCTCCGCTACGTTTCTCCACGAGACGATTTATAGCAGCCGCGATTTTTTCTCCATCCCCGTGTTTCCGTGCCGAAAAAAGGGAAAAAACGGAAAGAGGCATCCGGCCTTCCACCTGGAACCACCTGGAGAACGCGACTATAAAAATTACACCGCGATGCACGCTACGGCGGTGCATAAAATTACACGCGCAACGTGTCGGCCGTGGGAGATACATGCGCGAACTTCGATTTTCGTAATGGCGCGGCAAAACGGATTTGCCGGTGAATTTAACCCGCGTATTGACGTACAGGTAAATCTAACTCATTGCAAAAACGATATCGTTCCTCTCCCGTTCACGGGGCGGTAAAAGTCGCTCGCGATAAACGCACATAAATTACTCGGAAATATCAATCTAACGTAAACGCGCATTTTATTATCTCGAGAAACGGGATAACGATGCATTCAAAGAGATGCCATGTGACGATGCATCTCCCCGTAAATTTCGAGACCCGACTCGATTCTTCAACCGATTCTCAAATCGCAGAATCCGAAAGGAGTCTAGATTTTATCCCGCAGAATTTACATCACGCGAATTCTCTCTCGTCGTGAAATCAATATTAAGCACGGTGCCGCCCATTTTTGAGTCGAATCCTCCTCCCGCACCTCCCCGCCACTGCATCTCCTTTCGAACGAAATTCTAGTATGGCATGTGGCCAACGTTCCTGGTCGAATCGATCGTAAGATACAGTGCGAACCGGGTGAAAATCGGTTCGGCTATTTTTGCATAACGTCCATACAATCGAAATAACTGCGGACGATGCTTCAGTTTTTATTTACATAAATTTCCGACGGTATAAATCACGTGTTCTTTCGGCAGTACTCCACATACGTGTCCAGTGTGTCGGGATAAAATCCGCCGATAACAACCGTAGTGTTGCAAATAAAGAAGATGGAAATAGCTCGGGTTAATGCAATACGATGATATATAGCCATTTCCTCGCGTTGGTAATCAAAGTGCCAGACTGCGGATGAGGCACGACAATAGAGTTACTACCCTGCATTCTCTCTCGTTTAACGCCGTGATCGTGAGCTTAATTAACATGAAAAATTCTACTCGAGAGGCACGAATGTACCGATCGAACGATAGATGCACCTAGTTAGCTAATAGCGCGATGAAAACTCCTCCAGATTGAGAACAATCAGATAAACGACGGGCAATTGTCCAATCTTAAGAAAGGTGTGTTATCTCATCGTTGCCTGTTTTCCGCCATGTCGCTTCGTCGACTATCTCGATCTCGACGCGAGTCGTTGATTACGACTGTTACCGCACGGAAATTACGCATCTCGACGGTTTGAACGTCAAGGGAGAATTAAATACCATGGAATAATATATTATATAATATTAACATCAAGATACAGAGAATGTTAAATTGACGAATAAGTAACGTACGGTATTCCTGAGCACGCTTCGCCGGAAACGTCACGTGACCTCGGAACCAATAACATACATTATATATATATATACTATATTATTAAATGGAAATACCATATGGAAGGAAATAAGGAAATTGAGGGGGACAAAGGAAGTCTATTCTTAAGAATTGTACATATTAAACGTTTATTACATATATAATTGTACACTTATGAGCAATATTATAAAGAAATAAAAATACACATATACATATACACAAAATTAAACCAAGACCAAGAAAGAGACTTTTCTTACTTTCGAGGACAGTTATCGCGAGATCCGAATCCGGTCCGAGAGAAAATAATCAGCGGGGTTCACCGCATACGATCGAATTCTCTGGCGTGTGCTTTACCTTCCTTTTTAATACGAAATTTCGACGTCGACGAAATTGTTCCTGCCGACTATTTCCGCCGTTTTATAATGATGTCTCTCGCAGAACTCTTGAATTCTCTGACAAGCTTCCTCGAGCATGTCGCTCGGCACAGTGATTACCAGCCTCATGTACGAGCGATAATCGAAGCACTGCGGAATTAAGAATCCGGAACGTGGGATGTTAGTGAAATCAGTATCGTAGTTAAATACCGTAAGAAGTGAATTTCACGGCGATTACCTTTTACACTTTTTCGTGATATGATAAAAAAAAATGCTCCCTCAAACAAGCTATTGTACGCTATGGAAACGCGCGTTATATTTTTGGTTTTATAACTACACGTAAATTTTAAAATTAAATTTTGCAAATAAAGAATTGTAAATATTTTTTCGCAAACAACTACTGAAAATGATATACATCTGACATTTCTAATTTCGGAAAAAACACATGCGGTCTCTAATCCCAGAAGAAATTATTTGAGTCTACTTGAATATAATATTGATCGAGGTCAGTAAAATCGCCCCATAAATGCTTAATATTTTCAAAAATGCAGCAAATTGGTGTCACGGTTAATTTAATTTATCGGGAATATCTCTTTTAAACTGTTTTTATACCAATATTATTTATCGAAAAAGATTTTTTCCCCAATATATCGAAACGGTAAACATCCTGCCAATGCCATACACACAACGTTTAATTAAAAGAATCTTTCGCGTTTTTCATACACACATGCGAGTTTGTGTTAAAAATATCTTTGTGTGTACGCACGCGCGAGAGAAATATACATATGTACGTATAATCCGGAATTAAAAATGATCAATTGATAATTTAAACGTCAGAAACGAACCTGGCCGGGCAAGCAAAACACGGACTCTTCCATCAGCAGCCGCTGCACGAATTCCAGGTCGGAATTAAATTCCGGAAAACACGGCAGATCGATGTAGACCTGAAAATCGATTCAATAATTTATAGCCCGTAAATTGCGCCACCGGGCCCACCTTACTGATAGTATTTGCATTAACGTATAAATGATAGTGGCGCGCCGGGACTAATTGTACGACCTATTTATCGTGCCCTCGATTAACATTCTCGCGCGGCTCTATAAACTAACGGCTACGAACTGCCGAGCGACGTGCACGGTGTGATTCTTGAAATTACGCGAGGCCGCGAACGGGCTAATTTCAACGGAAATCATTACCATCATGTACATCGCTCCGTCCGGCATTATCGGCTTCAGACCCGCTATCTTTGCTATACAGCTGTACGCCAGTTTTGAGTGTGACTGTAACAATTAACATTTCGATTATTCCACGGTAGCAGTTGTAATATGAGATTAATGTGTGCACATGGTACACGCTCTAAAGATAAATTCAACTTGATAATGATCACACGCCGGGAGCCGTGTGATCGCGCATGTGAGAGAATTTTCTGCCGCAAATCAGGAGGGAACTCACGTATAAAGTGCGAATAACGTCGTCGAAAAAGTTCTGCGGTGTTGTCCGAAGTATCGCGGGCAAGGCGCCTTGGATAATAGTGTTGCTGCCAATTATTCTCTGGCTCAAGCAGTGTAGACCCTTGCGAATCTGGGTGAAAGTGAAAACTTCATTAGTTCTCCATTCGTTATATTTTCGGCCATCGTTTTCGATCGTATTCAATAATTACGCGATATTAGGGTGAGCCGACGTAAAATCTCATAACGAACTGCAAGAGATACATCGTAACGAGAAATAATGGTTAAGAACCACATTGTACTTTTGTAAATTTATTTTACGTATTTAGAGGAGAAAAACCGGGATAAAAGGTATTTTTGCACGAGGAATTATACATCAAGCTGCCTCGGTGAATCGAAACAGACGTGGAAACTCCTCCGAAACGGGCTCGGAACTCGGCCGAGTCAAGTGTAGTGCGGATCACTTCTAAAAACTTGATAACATTTCGCGCATGCTTCGTATATTGTGAAACACCGAACGTACCGAAAATTGACAGATATTTACCGGGCCATTCGACACTCGCCTATTGGAGAATACCGTCAAAGAGCCGAATATCTATCCTGAGCGATATGCGCGCGTGAAACCGGTGCTCGATTTTCCACCAGGATCTTCATCGCGATTACTTATCTGCTCCCGCGGAACGACTCCGGTAAAGTTATTAAAGAGCACGAAAATAATCGGTTACGACGTGCAGAGAACGCGGCGGTTTAAACTTCGTCCAAGACGATGGCGCCTTCGCGCAACTCGGCGCGGAATTAAGGGCGCGATCGGCGCCGGTTGCCAAAGGGCCGAACTTTAATGGTCGGAATAAAGTTTAATCAACGAAATTTAATCCAATCCTCGCGGAAGCGACGGTGGCGCGGCGACAGCGCCGAACTCGCCGGGACATGCCCGGCCTCGTTACGGAAACAATGCCGCCGGAGAAGCAATTATTTTCAGGCTGTCACGTATTGTGCCGCGACCGTTTACCCACCTCGGCCTCCAGGACATTCTGACGATCGTGGATTATTATCCAGCCCATACGCCAGCCGGGAACTAGGAATCTGTGGAGGGAAAAAAATCACACACTCATGAGAGAACGAAACGTGTCGTCGAGAGCGTTCTTGTTTGAAATTTATCCGCTCGGATTTGCATAGGCGCATAATGTATACGCGGAAAAATCGATCGCGTTTAACGTAAACAACGCGGCGCGTTCGTTACATTAGATACCACCGATTGATAAATTTCCCCGTGCATATGCATCGCGCTACCGTGCAAGTCCGCCTGCGTAGATTGTGAAGATATACGTCGCGATTATTCCGTATTCCTTCGAGGTAGCTTCTACACCGCGCGCAATAAAGAAAAGTTACACTGAAAAAAAGTGCTAAATAATATTGATTTGATCCAAGTAAAATGGTTACTCCAACGTTCTTTGACAAATATTTACTAAAAGTAGAAGTATAATTGACCATATATAATATCATATTTCTTTCATATAATTAGACGTATGTTGTACGTGTTAAAACAATTGCGACAAGTTTCATAATATTGAGACTATCAGAATTTATTTTTAGAAAATATTTGCTGGAAAGAAGTATTATATTCTTATTATACTTATAGAAAGAAGTATTATACTCTTATTATACTGTTGAGAAAAACTCCGTAATTTGGTTCTCAAGTTTTTTTATACAACCAAGTTATAAAAATTAATAACCAAATTGATATTACATTTAATAACGCATAGTTATGAAAGATCTTTTGAATCCACTTTTCATAATGATGCCGTAATAATTTAAAGTATGAGATTTAATGAGTGAATATTAGTCAAATACAACTGATGTATTTCACTAATATTTATAATTAACGTTTCGTTGTCAATATTTCGTTGTCAAATCCTAATATTAATAAAATAATAATAAATAATATTATGAAGATCTCCAGAATTTCTTTAATAACGCACATAATTCTAGTAAATATTTTTTAATTTCGAATCATTTCACACTTACATCCAGTAATTTATTCACAAACTAAAGTATTACTGTGTTCAAATAAATATTTATTACAAGCAAACATACTTAAATTAATAAAAACATTATTTGATTTAAGAAGTTAAAAAACAATTACTTAATCCTAGCACTTTTTTCCTATTTTTTCCGTGCGCTCGCCTCAAGCGTGACACTTATGAAGATAACCATAAAAATATGATGAAATAAGAGAAAGATGGTGGTCGGTGTTGACGTCTCCGGACTGCGAATTAATATGTTAATATCCGTGAAAAATCTTGCGCGCATTATCTGTTATCTACTTAAACGATCAGACTGAAATCGTGTTTTCCACAATTTTGGACAATGCAATGTCCCGCCGGTTGTTTTGCGCGACGAGAAAAGCGACGAGAGAAGCGGGACTGCGTTTCCGCGTGAGAGCGGCAAGCAGCTGTCTTTATTGCGGTACGCAATCGCATTGTTTACCGTGCGCTCGCAAAAAATCTAGCGTACGCCGTGAGCTCGTACACAACGCACAAGTTACGGCCTTTATCCTCCCGAATAATTCATTTATCTTCGATGGTACGGAAGAGGCTTGAACTAGAATTACGTGGATTAATATGGTATCCTTAACTAGGTTACACACATCTATTATATACATTTATGTATGTATGTGTGTACGTATGTATGTATGTGTGTGTATTAATGATAACACTGCATTGAAATAATCTCATTTGCATATTAGCTTTATGCGCGGAACTCCCGCCCTTCCTTCCTGATTCAATTTCTCGTTAATTCGAGTGCATCTATTAAATAAAAAGAAGAGCTCGCGGATACGCGGCACACAGCACACCGGTCGCTTTTAATTAATATGCCCGAACCGGATTGGAATATTATACACGTTCCTGGATTAATAAACGTACGAAACGCTTTTTTTTTCCTTATTTTTTTTTTATTTTTTTTTTATTTTTTTTATTTTTTGGAAAAGATTCGGTTGATGCCGAAATTTCTATTTCAACGTGCCGCCGTCGTTTTCAACATGGCCGTTTTAATAAAAGCTCGTTACGCGATGTTTATTTATTAAATCATCACGTTACTCCCCGTTCGCCATTATATAAATGGTTTTGCGCCCGACGTTCGTGCATTCATTGATCTATCATTGATCTATCCGTCATTTCTCTGTATTTTTCATCCGGCGATCGCACGTGCCGCGTATATCGCTGAATTTTGCATGAGAAACGCGATCAACGTTTATATACGCCAAAGTGCCGGGGCCGGGCCAGCGAAATTTGCGGCGTATAAAATATACCGCGCCACAATCAAAGACCTAACAACAACTGTGCGGGAACTCATTTACAACTGGGATGCAGCGGGGCGGTCGTAAATTAAGTTGCGTTTCAAATCTGATACCGTCGGAATAATGGAAGCATAATCGCGCGAAACTTCGGAATACCGTCCTTCCGGCCGCGATCGCCGTCCGCGACGTTTTTATTCACGCTCAATCAAGCCCCCTTTTCCGAAGATCGAGTGAAAAATTTCACGGTGAGCGCTTCCCGTCCGCGTAGATTTCTTCAGTCAACTTCGCGAGCGTCACTTTTATTCCACGCTCTCGCAATAAAAGATAATAAGGAGGTAACGTGCCGAGAGTAATTGAAAACTTGGCGTGGAAAAGACTGTGGCGCCTTCTGAAGATTATTTCGATCACCGTGCGCAACGTTTGCTCCGTTCCAAAAATCGCAGTCGATTCCTTCTTCTTTCGTTCTGCGTAATTGTAAATGTTATCTGGAGTTTTCCGCGCTTGTCACGCTCGCTCGTATCTTTTGGGTAAAAAGGTTCAATTCACGGAAATGCTTGTTCCAGAGGCGACGCCCCTAATCTTTTTTAAATCTTCAAATGTTAGGTAACACGCGACAATATGCTTTAAGAGGGTAGATTAGCCGCCGGCCGTCTCGTTTAGTATGCGAAAATTGCACGTTACGCGCGCGAAAAATTCCGCCGCGCGAAAGCTCTCCTGTCCGAGTGCTGAGCGCCAAAATGCGGGAATTTTATAGTCACTCTGCGTTCCGACATACCTTTTAGTCAGTCCGCTGCACGACAAAATAGGAACTTCGGTCGATAGAGACGCTAACGAGTGGAAAGTCCGTCCTGGAAATACCTGAAAACAACGGCGAAGCGAAAAATGTATTTGTGCATAATGGGCATGTGCGTTGCACGACTGCGTTGTGCAAATGCGATACAAAATAACGTGGAAACCATTGCGCTCGTCTAGCTATGCTCCGTCTCATCTTGAATTAATTCATTGTAAATTACGAACAAGATTATAATGAATATGTGCGCAAACAAAAATTGTTTTCTTTACGACGTGTATATATGTCAGGTATGTTTAATCGTGTAACGCATTATTTTTATTCCTACAAAAGATACTACAAAAATAATTTCCTCTGGCATGATATAGAGAGACGTGAGAAATTTTACATTATAAAAGGACGATGGATAAAATGGATCGATTTTTGCCCCCGCAGTGGCAAGTAAAAACGGTATATTTTTAAAAATATTTTTTGAGTTACTAAATCTGGTTCTGGCCTTTAACAATTTTTAATTTGACGGGAAAAAATTAAAATCAACATATAAAGTTATATTAAACATCTAGAACTGTAAATTACTATTGTTATTGTTTACGAACGTATTCATTCGTTTTCGTGTTTTCCTGCTTGTAAAACATGATAATTCTCTCATCTTCAATAATTCATATTCTAATCATGTCTATGCATTTTATGTAGTGCACTCTATACAATTCATTAATTTTTTTTCTCAATGATATGTTTTTTTTCTTATATATATTTTTTTCTATATATAATATATAGATTTCCGTTTATTAAAAATATTTTACTTTTGTAGTATTTTACTACTGAAAATTGTAAGATTTATATAAAAAATATTTTTAAGATCCGCTTTGACCTAGTAAGGTCTTCTTCACTTATTAATTTATATTGTTCACATATCGGTCAATTTTCACTTAATATTATTTATTTTTCTATAATTTTTTACTTTGATTAACGTACCGTTCTTATAATAATTTCTCATATATTTAATAGCTTCATATGCTGATTTTAATACTTTTCCGACGAATTAAAACTTTTTAAAAGTCAGAATCAGATTCAGCAGCTCAAAAACTACAAAAAATACGTACTGTTTTTACTCCGGAGATCAAAATCTCAATTTTACCCATCATATTTTACTAAAATAACAAGTCTAGTGTTTAGTTTCGTTAATTAATGAAGAGAGATTGCTCGTTGTCGTGATAGATCGAAGTAAAGAATATTCAAAGTAAAGCGCTCTCGTGCAAAATATCTTTCTCACGATTACAATTTCGACGGGACGGCCCCGTATATCGTATCACAAATAAAGAATTCTCTTCCCAACAACGAGATGTAAAACGCGCCCTTTCCGGATTCGGTGCACCGTGCATACCTGTTCTGAATTAATTGCACTGTCCCCCTTCGGACAAAAGGACGCGCGTGGTGCGCGCTTTATTTGTCCCGCAAATGAAACGATTTGTCACTTGATACTTGGGGAAGGAAGCGTAATATTCGGGCACGTACCATGTGCTCGTAAATCTCATCGGCTATAATGGGTACGTAGTAACGAGCGGCGATGTCGAGAATGTCAAGTATATGGTCGCGACTGAACACAGAGCCACAAGGATTCGAGGGGTTGTTTATAACAATCGCTGCCGTCGACTCGTCAATTTGTGCCTCCAGGTCGTCGAGATCGATCTCCCAACCGAGCTCCGGCTAGAACAGACGATTAATATTAATAGGATGCATTCATATGAGGCTCTCTCATTCTCTCTCTCTCTCTCCTCCTCTCCTCCTCAAACATAAACTTACACTTTACACACTCTATCTAACTCTCTCATGTTCTCGCACATACATACTCTATTTTATTCTCTCGGATCCTCCCACCCCTACAGGGCGATATATATATTATACAGGGTGTCTCGGAAATGCGCTCTCTTCCTTTCCAGATTCTGACGATTTCAATATACTCGCGAATTCAGCTTTAACGGTAGAAATGGATTTCGACGATTTTATGGCGAAATTTTCATAAAACCATATTTTAACGAGATTTATCTCGAAGGTTCACGGGGATGTTCGATATCGAATTTTATAAAGTTGTGAAAGGGAAGCGCGTCGCCAGGAAGGGGAGGAGGAGGAAATCGATTGCAGATTTGCCGGAGAATCCGCGCCGAGAAGCACGGCCACAACGCGGAAAGCGCGAATTGAGTCACGGTAAAATCACACCGCGCTCTTTACAAGCTCGTGATAATCGCATTACGCCGTTAACGAATGCCCGAACATATATTTACGTTCGCGAAATTTTGCAATCACAATTCCGCCCTGACTTTCCCGGCCCCTTCTTTTAACAATATAATTTTCACAATATCTCCGCGTGTAACACGCGTATCCCGAAATTATTTTCACAATTCATGGGCACGTATCAACCGAACGTGTTCGCGCAGAAGCTCGTCTGCACTGGAATTAAAGCGCTAACAAACGGTCGGGAGCGTCGCGATGTTGAAAATTTTCTCCGCTCGGCGCGTGTGTTTTGCGAGAGCATCAGATTGCACCGCCAGATTGAACCGATCTATCCCCCGGAAATCATTTCGGGTGACGTATTTTTTTCGCGTCTACAGTCTCGCGAGTAAAACAAAGCTTTTTCGGAGAAACTGTTTCGGCAGACGGGATTCGCGGAAACACGTGCGGCATGCCGCGAACGCGATGAGACTGATTTTATTCGCACGGCGCGCACCGCATGTTCATGAACCGGCCTTATTATTTGCGCGTCGCGGACAGACGGCCGTCATAGCGCATGAATTTCTTGCGCATTCCGCTTTGTAGACAATTCGAGTTACGGCGGTGCGGTTGTAATTACTTCTTGGAGGTAAAATACTTGACGACTACGCGACGAGCGGGTGGGCGGAAGGAGCGGAATGCGGCGAGACGTTAAAACTCGCCGACGCTGAAAAGAGTGGAAAACTGCCTCATTAGCACTTCGGTCCGACGTTTGAAGATCTCCGAGCGAGCGCACTGATTCATCGTGTAAATAGACGCGACGGCCGATTTAAATATGATTTCGCGCCGTTTAAAGTCATTACGCGATTACGTTGGACGCTCCAATTGGCCCGGAGTGGATTCCGCGCTAACGCGCTCGCGCGGACTCCTCGTGCAAAAACATCACGTCGAACTTCAAACGCGAAATCTCGCCGGAACGGGCGGAAGAAGTTGACGAAGTTACTCGAATCGAGTCGCGGAATTACGTAACACTGAAAATTAAACGCCTCGCCGGGCGGAGGAGAACCGTCGCGCACAATAAAGTGCAGGTCCGTTGAACTCCTTGAAGTCTCGCGAAATATTTCTATACGCGTTGGAAACTTAAATGTTTCCGCGATTATACCGCGCGCGAAACGCGCGGATAAATTATTTAATAACGCCTGTGTGTCCCCTGGTGATATCCCGTTCTCCCACGGATCAATTTCTTGATGAATACGGAGTGGGTGTGAAAAATAATGATCGCTCTTTACTGTTCACAGCGACGCAGGCGGACGGGGAAAGGGAGCGGAAAGGGAGGTGGCTTGTAATTTGAAAAACAACGGTAGTTTCCGACACATCTAACAAAATATGCGCGATTAACGCGGTCTTGATAAAAGATTGCATCCAGCCTCGTTCCCTCTCTCCCCAACGTGCCCTCGCGAAACGCTAAATGAACGGGATATTATGTGCCGTCATTGTTTTTCGTAAATGAATGCATTCGCGCCCTGGGTGGTAAATAAATTTACAGATACTAACGGAATGGTATATTTTTGCATATAAAGCCGAGGACTCGCTCGGTAAGCGGCCGGGCCGTTTTAGAGAAGTGCGTTCTGTAATAACGCGTCGCTCTCAAGAAATACGGCGCGGATGATGTTGTGCACATTTCTTATTAATTACAATGCAACACGGTAGCGCCTAATGCACCTTCTTTCGCCGTCGCGATTATTACAGGGCAGCGGCGCGCGGACACCGTCGCGCCTGCGGTATCGATCAATATTTCACACGCTTTCGTGGGAATATGAAATGTTCGGCGCATTATTCGTTATGTTGTTCACAGCGTTGAACGGATAAATTAAGTGCTGATTAATTTAATAATCGGAGGAACGATTAATACGGAGAGATAGAATCGCGTCCCGCGGTGTTTGAAAAAATGCCATCGCGCTTAACTCGCTGGACATTAATTATTGTTTCACCGTTCATCTCGAGAAAAAAAGAATTGCCTATTTTTATTCATTTCTTTTTTCTATTTTTTGCGATTTCTCTCTCTCTCTCTCTCTCTGGTGAGAAATAGATATTCGAGGAAAAAAGTTTTATTGTATATGTATAGCGTGGAAACGCCCTTTTCCTCCTTTCCGGAAGAAATACTCACGCGGAGACCGTACGATTTGACCGTAATACCAAGACCTTCCGCCAGCGTTCGATAGATCGAGAACCCGGGACGTGGAATCAGTATGTTTTGACCTTCTCGAGCTAAAGCCGTGATACACAGGTCAAGTGCGCAAGAACATCCGCTGCACAGGATTACGTCCTACGGAATAGAGATAAAAAATAAGTTACTCCTCTGCGCTGTCTTCCCTCGCGTCTTACTGAACGTCGATATGATATCTTTCGAACCGAAAAAAATCGTATTGAAAAAATGTTTTCTCCATATTTCCGTTCTTTTTATTCGTTCTCCGTAGCAATTTTTCGGGAATTTGTAGTCAATTATATTTCTACTTGTAGTAAATATTTGCCAAGGAGTACTGGAGTAACTATTTTACTTCGATCAAATTTTCTTTCAGTCTACGCATATATGCATAAGGTCGAATATCATATATTCTCGATCTAAGGAATGGCCAAGAGCACTCGTGTACAAGCTCTTTGTGTACGAAGGAATTCTACGCGATGACTTATCCCGTCAGATTTTTACTGCTTTTACCGCAAACAAATTCACCGCGGTATACGCGATATTCACGCAATATTAAGCACGGCTGCACGGCCACGCTGCAGTAAAATATGTATGACGATGAAAGTACACGATTAAAAATGTCTCTCTTGCGATAGGCGGACTACGCAGCGTAAAAGAGTTCTAAGCTTAACCCGATTATTATCGTCCCACCTGCTAAATAACGTACTGCGAACAGTACTAACGTGTAATTTTATATTTAATCGGGTAATTCGATAAATAATTTGTAAAATTGAAAACTGATTCAGTAACATTACACTGATTCTGAAATTCTAGCGCGATATATGCCATCTACAAGTTGGCAACCGATAAAATAACGTATTATCATTATTATTGTTGTTGTTGTTATAAAGCACAGGTTGCGCGCCGTACTGCGCGTTGACGAGGATCTTTGTAAATTCGGTCCGTTTACAAAAAGCCGAGCCGGCCTCAGTGTAAAACGTCAACTGACAAAGGGGCGACGTTTTATCGAGCGAAATGGAGAGAAAAAGAGAGAAAGAGAAAGAGAGGCTAGACTTTTTGTAAAGTGCCGAAACTTACAAAGATACTGCAACGTACACGGTGCGAGCGCGCGCACGCGCGTACACATGAGAAATCTCGGTGGCATGGCTATCCGCGACACGTGCCCGCTGTCGACACTTGACACGGGCGCACGTGTCCATCGATTTCCGCGTACCTTAGGATCGACTTTCACGAACTCGTTCGAGCTGTACTCCGCCACGGCCTCTCGCGCCCTTTGATAACCTGCGGAGATAAATGAAAATTAAAATATCCTTCGCGTTATTGTATGAATATAATTACGTGTCGCTTAAATCTTCCCCTCCCTTCCCTGTGACGCAATATGCAACAGATCTCTCTCTCTTTCTCTCTCTCTCTCTCTCTGTGTATGTGTGTGTGTGCGCGTGAATAATTAAATCTATATTATTGCAATATTCGTTAATGATTCATCGTTAGAATAAACAGACGCAGTAACACATGCGTCGACCTAATGAATAAACGTTAAAATAATCGACAGTATTATTTAAATGATTTAACGGGCGTATACTCTCATTTGGAAAATTGGTAACATAATAGGATACGCAGCAAAACGCGATTTATACTCGTTAACCGGTAACAATTTTACCATCCGTCATCTTTTCCCCCCAGCGTAAAATTCACCGCGACCTCGGTTCGAGATCGCGATCTAATTAAAATAAAGTTTTGCGGGTGCCGCGTTCGAAAATTACCTATGCTCGGCGCGTATCCGTTGTACAATTGCGAGGCGACGCTCTCCTGCACAGCCTCGATCACTTCTTTCGGTGGCTTGAGATTGCCGAAAGTCGTAGGGTCACCTGCGAAAAAGACCAGTGTGCTTTGAAGAGAGAGAAGGAGAGAGAGAGAGAGAAAGAAAAGCGTTTAATATAGATCTAGAGCAGATTGTCTGAGGACTTAAAATACACATGTGAACGATAATTATATTGATGTGTTTATACAACAATAGAAATAGTGTAATTATAAATCAATTACGCAAATAGGTTTAAAATAAAAATAAAGAATGAAAAAAAAAATTATTAGAAAGAAAAATTATTACAGTCTGTTGACACGCAGGTAAAAAAAGGAAATAACCAGTATTGTATATGACAGATGCATTTTTTTTAAGTAACTAGATACGGATGCTGAAAGGGAAATATAAGTAAATACAGATACAGATATATTTAACGTAATAAATTTAACGTAAATAATTTACATCTTAACGTCTCCTTCTCTCCGAAAGATAGAGAAGGAGAAGGAAAAAGAAAATGCTTAACGAACGTTTGATAACAATGTGACTTTGCGATTATGTGCAATTACGTAAGTCCGAAATTACATAAATAGCGGGTCCTTCCGCCAAATACGCGGGAGGCACATCGCGAATCACGAATTTCACATAAACATCTAATTACATATACGCCATGTCGTTGTAATTGATTACTGAATCGAAACTCACGCAGCGAAGTCGGTAGGAAATGCTGTTTATACAGATGTGTTGTCAAAGTGTAACGAAACGCCCGTCGCTCGCGCGCGCGCGAGCGACCGACCGAGTCAGGCGAGTTCGTGTTCTCGATATAATTGGAATTAATTAATTGTTTCTCAGAGGCTACCCCGCCACTCAGTCAGTCCTTGTTGCGAAATTTCTATTGCGAAGCGCGATAGCGCGCGGCGACGAAATAAAATTCGAGCGCAGCGAGAGAGTGCGCGCGCCGCGGAATTTACGTAATTACAACTTCGCCGCTCTGTGTTAATCGAGGGAAGGATTGTGCTCTCGCTCACGTCATATATCACGGTCATATTTTCCGTTTATGTTTCACAGCTCCATTATAGTCGATGTCAATCAGCGGTTTACGCGCTCGCGCGCACCGGTCGAGATCTTTGACCGCTTTCGCCGTGTTATTATTTTACACGCGTTACGTATGCGGGATAGTATGTCGAGGTAGAAATTTACGAATTATCATTTCTATCAATTGTCATCGGTTCGTGCGTATTTGTTGCTTCGGATTATTTTACGGTGTGTAGTGATGTGTGTGCACACAGAAAAATATTGTATTATGAAGAAAAACAATTATACGGTGAATTTTCCTTCTTTTAAGTAATAGTTATCTTGAACGAAGAATATTTTCTTGATACTAGTATTAAAATATAAATAAATAAATAAATAAAATGTAATATTAGAATATATTCATTAAAAATATTAGAAAAGCTCATTATCATTTACTCAACTGAAGAATGTGTGTTCTCTTTTTAAGAATATTATTAATTACATCGAGGAAAAGTTAAATTTAGTTAATTGGAATAAATAAATCGAAGTTTTAGTGTTTTAATTTAATATTCTTAATTGAACGTACTAGGATTGAGAATATATTTTATATCAATATTCTTTGTCCAAGATAACCATTATTATTAAAAAGAAGATAAACTGAGTATTTACTTTTCTTCGCAGTCCACAATATTTTTCTCTGTATGTGTATGTATTTTGAATATATTTTGCGGCCCCATAACTCCTCCCGGCTACCCGATAGACGGAAAGAGCAGAAAGGGGAAAGATATCGACCGGATTTGCTTCTGCCGCGGGAAAGCATATTTTAATTTTGATTAATTTTTACGAACGTTCCGTTAATATCCAATTAAAACTCCCGCGCGTATGCGCTCTATTGAATTCATATTTTACGAAATACGATAGCTCCGGCTAAATGTAGATATCTCTGCTCATTTTACCGTGTAATGAAACAGCACTCGCACTTTTCGTTTTGAATACAGGGGCACAATTTCCATTTAAAAACATGTGACGTTTTTTTGTTTTTTGTTTTTTTTTTCGGAGGAAAAACGTCGGTTGAATTTCTTATTTTTTGTCATTTTCAGTGTGTTATGAAACTTATAAACTGGTTTCGGAATATTTTTGGAACGGGGCCATATCATGAAACTTTACCGAAAACATCCAGTCACATATATACACATATCACAAAACATACTCTGTTTCTCGGCACAAAAAATCTTCCGCCAAAAAAAGGCTTCAATTTCCGTGTCGTGAAAAATTCTTCGGTATGCTATATCTTTCATAAAAACGGAATATACATGCAAATACTAATCCAGAAAAATGTTCTTGGACAGAGTCGATCCTTCCTTCGAGATTAGTATGGCCATTTTTTCACAGGGCGATTTTTGAAAAAAATTCCCGCCAGGCAGCCATATTCTATTTTTTGACACTATAATCTTCCTCGAATTGCGTATGTGTAGAATAAAAGGAAGCTCTCGAAAATGTTTACAGCCGCTGGCGCGCATCCGCACGGGATTTGTATCGAAATATATTTAGATTAGCGTGCTCGTGTGTCAGTTCTATTCTATTCCGCTATAAAATTTGCTGAGGACTGCGCTTCGGATGTTTTTCCGATACATTCTGACACATCCGCATTTTGCGCCACTCGTGCACTGCAAATGTTAAGGGGACTCACGCGTCACTACCACCGCCTTTTAACTTTTCACCGCTTATAAAATTCTGCGCCGGATAGTTAAAATCGTGTATCCCGGCGCGGAAAGTCCGAGAACTTCTCGAAGAATTAAACAAGTTAACGAAATTACAATACGATTAAATTGGGGGGGAGGGGGTGAGAATCTTTTTTCGTCCTTTAATTTGCGCGCGAATAGTTTCACGGGATGAAAATTTCGCGGTCTTTCTCGTCTTCACCGTCGATTCTTAGGAAAATATTTTCGAGAAATCGTCGATTGAGAAGCACGCTTTTTAATTCACATATGATTTCTCGTACCATTATTTCGATAATCTATCGACTATAATATTGTTAAGTCAAGTTTGTCCCGGAGGAAAGTTTGTAATTCAACATCTCGCACGCGATTACTCATACGATATTCATACGATCATTCAAAAATGCTTTTAAGAACACCTTTAGAAAATCAGAAATATGTTATTCATCATGCTACATTTTAATCGTTCCCCGTCATGCGAAATCGTTTATCATGAAAAAAATCTTCTACATTTTAACCGATGTTCCTTTTTAAATCGAACAGAGCGCAAAACATCGTAGAAATTTAACCGAGTAAAACATATTCGGAATTCTTCCGTTCTAGGAAGTTCTTATCCGTAAACCTTCGAAAAAGTTGTTTCTTCTAGCAACACGGCAGAGTCGGCAAACGAAATATTATCTATGTTACATCCGCGTGTTTGCGTATCAATATTTTCCCAAAACGAATAAAGTATGCAGTTCCGACACTTCCGCGCGGTAGAAATTCGGAGACCCGGCGTTACATCGGTTTTTCTCGTAGCATTTTAATATTTATAACATTATTAATATTATATTTGTGAAGAGAAAAAGAGAAAGGACATCAATGTCATGGACGATTACATTCTGCCAGAGCTTCGTCAAAGGAGGAAAAAAAAAGCAACCGCGAGTATCTGAAAAAAATGTCATCGCGGGATTTGATGGGACAGCGATGGACCACCGTGTGTATGATAGTAAAATTGCACTCGGTTGTCTCAAAAATCACGTACGAAAAAATCATGTGGACATCTCGCGCGCGCTTTTTTAGGTTTTTCTTTCTCTCTCTCTCTCTCTCTTTCTCTCTCTTGCAACAAAGAGGCGGGATCGGATTCAGCGCCGACATTTTCGACCCGGTTTCCGCGTGCTCTAGAGCTAATCAAAATGCCGCGCTTTCGTACTCTCTCGTCTCGTGCGCGGATAATCTGGCCTTCCATTTTTCGCCGACCCGTCAAACTTTTCGCACATCAACGGCCCGGAGATCATGCATATTGAGGATCTAACCGTGCTCATAGAGAACAACGAAAGTTCGCAATTTGTATGCATTTACTCGCGTTTACCGCGCAAAGCCGGCGGTGGTAAAGCCTTTGTCAGCGGCGGCGACGGCGGCCGCCTCATATACCGCGTAACGCTTTTCACGAAGTGCCGCGGGCGCAACGAACAAACGAATGAACGAACGGAACTAATGATTCCATTCGGTGAATCTTACGCGACCGCGGACATGTTCGAAATATTTCATTCGGCGAGTTCTCGCGATCACGGGACAACGTTGCCGGCGAGAGAAAGGGAGAGAGAGAAAAGGCGCGTCGCGAAAAGGACGCGATTCTCTGTGCGGTGTGAGCGAGCCCTTTAATTAATTACCGTATCGTTTCATACATTAGCGCGGCCAAAGGTGCAAGGCGCGTCGTAATCTCGCCCGCACGTTGCGCTTATCTCGGCGCGCGGCTTGCGCAATAAAGCGCAACGTACAACTCTCTGCTTCCCCCCCCCCCCCCCNCCCTCGACGGGGGAGAACCATCCGTCGCGTCGGTTCTGCTCCGTTTTTCGCCCCGGCCCCCGTGTGGTGGAAAAATGAAATAACCGCTTGATTGCACCAGCGTGATGGACCATCCCTCCCGCTTTCCCATCTCTCGTTCCTCCTCGTCTTGTAAAACGATGAGAATCCGAAGAGTCCAGCGAGAACGTCGCCATGATCCGAATATTACAGTACGAATAAACGCTTGAATTCCTAGGCGAGAATTATCTTAAAAGTCACGCGACGATCGGACGGATATCTCAGACAATGTTAATGCGATTTAATGTTCCGTGAAACACCGGATCCGTCGGTGGTACGAACGTATAATTTTTTGTCCCGGCGCGAAGGTTGCGATTATTTTTTATCACAAACTTGATTTCGTACTCTTTTATCGCGAATTAATTTCTCTAATGAGACATTTTACCTGCGCAGCCGTTTAATAGACCGTTTAATAGCCGTTTAATAGCGTACAATAAATTCATATGAAAGATCTCAAAGTAATATTACATTTCAATTACATTAAAAATTCAACATTCTATATTTTAAATTATTAATACCTCGTAAGATTTTTTTTTATGAACAAAATTGATAAGCGAAAAATTTCGAGATCTCTCGAAAACTGTGAAAAATTTAAGAGATAAGATACGAGACCATCGCGCCATTTCGAAATTCATGATGTGCCAAGTCGAGTTGACTAATGTGCTAATTAATAATCCGACGTAAGAATCGGTCCGCACATATAGAAAAATAGTTGAATTCGTCCTCGCGGCGAAATGTACCCTTATTGGCCGATATACGCGCGCGAACTCACCGATTGACAGCGCGATCATCGGCTTGTTGGGGTTCGGCTCGACGACGATGTTCTCCACGATCGATCTTATGGGATTGTGCGTTCGCCTGGCGATGTCGGAGACGCGGACGTTCCATCGTTCACGGAAACTCACGGGCATGGACATCTTCGTCGTTGGTTATTCACGGTTAAAAGCGTCCCTCGGAAGCTTCACCTACTGATCTTTGGCAGCAGTCTTTGCGCTCGGTCAATTAGCGCGGTGAACTAGCGCGGTCTCTCTGCTCGAGTGTTCTCCAAGGACACGTATGGATCGTTCGGCCACAGGAGCGACGTATACGTATACTGGATGCTTACAATCGACACAATCGACGGTCCTCGTACGGCTGGTGCTCTGTCACTGAGCTCCGATCGCGACAGCACGCTAATAATCGAAACACTCGACGGAGGCTCGAGGACGGACGAACCGGTCGGATTGGTCTGTTCGGTGCCACACCTTCTTTCATAATTAATTAAACAGATTCCCTGCTTACGTAGAGAGAGCACTGAATGTGTGGAACGATTTCGTTCGTCGTTGCGCGGCCGTAAACAGAATTCTATCCCGTCTCTTTTTCTCTCTCTCTCTCTCTCTCTCTCTCTTTCGATCCGCTCGTCTCCGTCGTGCCGGCGAGTTTAGAATGTAGAACCTTAACTACGGTGGTTCCATTTTGTTGCGACTCGCTAATGTTTATGCAATTATACCTTGTAACTGTTTACTCTCTTTCTCTCTGTCTCTTCGAGTTACAGTCGCGGGTTATTCGGGCGCCGGTCCAACGACGACTACGACATCGTCAGCGTCACGGACGTGCGTTTGCTCGTTAATTGAGTTTGACGCGACGCTCCTCCCGTCGTACTTGCACCACGAACAATCCTCGAATGTCGGAGATAAACGAATAAGTCGGAAACGACCGCCGTTGGCGAAAAATCAAAACCGCTGGGAAAATCGACCGCGGAAGCACGAAAAAGCAAAGCTAAATTTTATCAGGATTTATCAATATTTTTGTATATACTATCTGTGAACTCTCTCTCTCTTTCTCTCTCTCTCTCTCTCTTTTTCTCGGTCTTCGTTATAGATATATTATTCACTTTTTTCCCGTATATGCGGATATGGAACCTCTTTTTTTTTACAATCGTTGTCCATGGAACACCTGCTGCAAACGAATAACGACTGTAGTCACTGTCCATGTAGAGCTCGTTGAATCACAACTGTAGTTGATGTTTCAGTGTCTTTTACTGCTGTGCATTATTTCGGCGAGTGCATTAGCGAATCGTCACAATAGTCATTGCTATCTGTCATTCTACAACTTCTTTCTATGAACTGTGAAAGATTAATCATTTCCAAATATCTAACACTAAAATGATTAAAGTAGATTCTAACGATGATGGACTCGTTTGCACAGGAGCCGTTTTTTTACAGATATGTTTCTTTACGAAGTTTAAGTGGTACGGTACGTGATTCTTCATCGTGATTTCGTTATTGTCGCATTAAACGTAACAGATGTGTTTTGGAGATGATAATTACGTATATAATGTTTTCGCGAATTTATCACGTAAAATTAATCGGACAGGTGGACGTAAATTCAATGAACGTTAAATATAGCGATCGGAAAATGTAAATATAAAGGAAATCGTAAATCCGTAAAATACCTGTGGAGCGCGTATAATTTAAATGAAGCCTCAAAATCAGAATAAAGCGTATGCGGAGTGCACGAGTAAATTTCCATAAAGACAGTCGATACTTTCTATTACATCTGCGATATTAACCAATTCGGAATATTGGTATCAAGTAAGACCGCGTTCAAAAAGGGCACATTCGTTTCTTCGATATCGAACGGAAAGCAGAGAAATCGTGCGAAAAAATTACGACAGATTTGGTTTACACTCCGTGCAAGGTGTTCCGAAACGCCCAGCGTTAATTTTACGGAAGGATCCTTTCACCGTACCGGAGTGGAGTTTCTCACGAATGAGCGGGAAATTCTCAGGTGCGATTAATAATTACCGGGGCAAAAATTTCTGTGAACTTCGTTACTCCCTCCAAACTCTAATGCAAAGCTTAATCGTCGAGGCGTTTAGCGCCGAATATTAATAACTCATGACAAATAATATTCCCTGCCGAGGTCTTTTTTGAAAGAAAAGACCGACTCGAAAATCATCGGAGAGTTTGTCGTGAAAATTGCAAGATCGAGATTTTGCGACGCCCCGAATCCGCGTGGAAAATATATTATGAATATCCAGATGAATAATTAAAGCACACGTAGAGATTGTCCGAAAAGAAGTTCTCGAAGCGAGGCGAACGGCAAAGTTCACACAATGTCTCCGATTCTGCCTGGCGACAGTCGATATTTTTCCGTGTCGAAAAATGTCGGTGGAAAAAAGAACTTTTTAACTCCGGGATCGCGCGCATGGCGTCTAGTAAACTTTTCTGCTGCAACCTCAGAGCCATTTTGCGATATTTGCTCGTAAATCGCGGAATGTTTAATAGAAATGTTTACGCGGTACACTCGGCGAGAGATTTTGTGTGTCGCAGGCCGGCAAATCGTCGGATATTTACAATGAAGGTCCGACTTGTGATAGATTTGCATCTGAAATTTCGCCCCGGAGAGAGACGTTTATTGCGATATGCGGTTGTTCTTACCGGCCAATAAATCAAGAGTATTTAAAAACTCGTACACACAATCGTCGGAGACATCGGCCGACGTAGCAATAATATAATAATAAGTAGCTAATTTGTGGCATATAAAGTAACACCTCGTCGGCACGGAAAAAATACGCGAGTGCACGCAAATCGCCCGCGATAGTGGATAAATCTCGAATAAATCTCGGCTATTGTCCAAACGTTTTCTCGCTTTGTCATAATTCACGCGTCATCAGGAAAAAAGCCGACGTCCAGACGTGCAAAGACGCATCGAGGTGTCATTCTGACATCTTAAGGGTGTCGTATATACCAGTCGGGAACGCATTTCCAAAATCGCAGGACGCATCGTTGTGTCGTCTTTCCGTTGTCTTTGGATCCAATTTTAAATCGGGACTTTAATGCTCGTTCTAGTCCGACACTCGCTGAAGACTTTTCCTCCAACGGGACCGACCGTTCGAGCCGCGCAACGAAAAAGATCCCAAAAAAGGTAAAAACGCTACCTGACTTAAGTGCGGCGTATCTCGTACACGACGTTCGAGGGAAACGAGCTTCGTGCCTTACGGTGTAAATTACAGGAACGTCGGCTTCGAATTAGAAACCCCGTGACAATTATCGTGTTCTGCGGTGAAAATAGCTCACAAAGGGAAGCGTCATATTAAAAGAGACTTTTTAAAAAGCTAATGTCACCAATGAAAAGAGCATGTCCAAAATAGATATATTAGATAGTAAAATCTTGGAATTTTTTAGATTCAAGATTCGGATTTGTCCGGAAATTTATCTTGGCCCCAGGGCGCTTTCTTACAACATAACGCTTCCCCTTGTCAGTGAGCGTTTATTGTTTGTGATTGGAGTATTCTCTTATATCCTTGATAAGCAGGGGAATGCACGTATCAGAAACAATAATTAATAAATAATCACAGTTTTCTCTCGTGAACGCAAACAATGATTCTTACATCGAAAATCTCCGTGTATTTCGATGCGCGCGCTTCACACCGCCGTTGAATTAACTAAAACCGCCGGGGAGAGATATTCTACAGTTTCCGCCCGCTATTTGCGCGCGACCATCACATCCGGGAAATTTCATTGTAGCTAAGCTGTCGATAAACTATTCAGGACGTCAAAACCTATCGAGGGCGAGAACATCGTGACCGCTATTTTTACTCTCCCTCCCTCTTCCCGTCCCTCTTTGTCTACGATAGATTTAACGGCACGCAAAAAGGAAAGGAAAAATTGTCGGATGGTACTGAATTAAAGCGCGATGGAGAATTCTTTATCGAAAAATTCGCCTAGTCCCCTTCCCCTCCTCTCGCTTCGTGAAATGGATTTCGGGAGGAATGTTGCGACTCCGGTTCCGCGATGCTGTCGAATTTCGTCAAGGTGGCAGAGACTGGGCCAAGATGGAATTTCACGTTTCGTGACTCTATTTTACAGGATGCGCCACGTGTGTCGCACCAAGACTCCGCTCGTTGGAGGCTCGACTGCTTGCTATGTTAAACACATCGGCCTCAGCAGAATTCCTTTACGACGGATCCTTTCCCTCCCTCTCTCTCTTCTCTCTCTCGTATCTCCCCCTCTCTATCTCTCTCTTTCTCTCTTATCTAACACTGCGCTCTCTGAGGTTTCCTCGTAAACTTTCTTACGGCGGCCCATCGGCCGATACAGAGAGATATATCGGACTTTTCTCACAGTGGGAGTCTTGAACGGGAAGTAACGGCAATGGCGACGGTATACCTGGGCATAACGTAAGAGTATCTTCCCGCTCGAAAATGGGATGGCGAAAGACATAAAATAATACGGAATGGGAAGGAAAGAAAGAGAGAGAGAGAAAGATTTACACGTGTGTAACATGCGCGTATGCACGTGTAAAACGCGCGAGACGTAGCGTGAAATCGTCACTCGGTGAGAACAATACTCTCTAAATTTCAATGTATTTTCACTGAGAAACAGCCAATAGTCACTAGTGATCGTAGCTATAAGTAGTGAGCGTGGTTATAAGTATAGCACTGTAAATCAATAAAATTTCGTTGCAAAGGTCTGTTAATAGTAGCAACTGTTTCCATTGGAGGAATATAACTGCAGAAACAGTGAAAAAAAGATATTATTCATTACTTCATTTTTATTAATCCTACTCTTAAAGTATTGTCAATGATTTTGCCTGAAATATTCTTAATCATTTTCAATGATTCAACTTAAGAGAGTGGTTCTCGTGTTGGTCTCTCTAATGCGAAACTGTCCGTCGTTTTGGAAACGCCGAAACGTCAGCTCGTCCATTTATCTCTACCGTATTATGCCATTTTTACTTGTTAAGACTCGCAGTTTGACACGTCGGCTGCGACCATATAGCTTCCATAAATTGGCGCCATTTCCGTGATGCGATCCTGTGCGCAGCGCGTTTAAATAGATTACAGTTCAATAGAGCTTTGCTCCGGTGATCATTCTCGCGCAGCTTTGCTCTCTACGATAAATTTTCGCAAATTACCGCTTTGACAAATATCACTCCGACGACTAGCTCTCATGTTCGATCATGATCGGCGATTGGCGCGCTAGCTACGTGTACGCGGGACAAGCTATCTTCCATAAGATAATACAAAAATTTCAAGAGTGCTCGCTAATTGAAAACTGTAATTCGCCGTTGAACTTCGTTATGCAATTAACGACGAAAACCGGTTCGGAGTTCACGAGTGTTTAGACGAACGGCTCGAAAAAGGGGTGAGAATTGATTGCCGATCACTGATAAAAATTTAATATACCTTCCGTATCTGTTCAGTCGCTAATATTAATTGAGCTTATAAACTTTTAATTACAACTTACCTACAAACTTACGCGAACTCGTAAACTTTTAATCACAGGCTTTATAGCTAATGAAAAAGTACTTATCGGCCGAAATGATTATTTCGGCTATTCCAGCGTTAAATTCAGTACGGCTAAATGCGGTCCCCGTCGTACGATAAATCTGCTTATGAATCCACGGAGAGATTCAATGTACGAGTATAACGATGGCGAAATAAACCACCGCGATCCTCGTACTTTTGAACCGTGGAGAGACTTCGCCGCTAAGTTGTCTCTCATTTAACACGTTTACGTGCTACGCTGTATTGTACAACTAAGTCTAACCAGACTTAATTTCT